AGTATTTATTGAGCACGTGTTGCATACCAGGTACTGTGCTCAAGCCCAGAAAGACAGTGCTGAGGAGAATGGAGGAACTAGGGTAAGGAAAGCAAGGCTAAGGGGGCGCCATGGGAGGAGACACCCACTCTTGGGGGCAGGCCTGAGCCCCAGGGCGGGCCTCCTTCACACCAGTCCTGGGAAAACAGACCCTCCCTGTCCTTCGGGAGCTCACAGTCTAGAGCAGGGACTGTGGCTTTGGCGGAAGTGGTGCCGGGGCTGAGCGGGCACCCGCCTTGTGAAGAGCTCGGGAAAGTGATCAGAGGGAGCGAGATGTGCAAAGTCCTGGGGCGGGAAGAACCTGGACGCTGTGGAGCTGAAAGCGAGCCTGAGAGCTGGGGCGGGAAGGAGGGCCGGGGCAGGGGCGAGGGCCACGAGTCGGGCCTGTGGTGTGGGCCTGGCAGGTCGTGGTAAGGGTTTGGGGTCTCATGCCTAGCGCCAGGGGAAGCCACTGGAGGGTTTGAAGCAGGAGTGGTGCGGTCCATCTTACAGTCTGAAAGAGCACTCTGGCTGCTGGGGGGGAAGTGAGGCAGAACCAAAGGAACCAGGGGGTTACCTGTGGCCAGCTGAGAGGTGGCTTGGCCCTCTGGGTGGCACTGAAGATGGAGAGAAGTGGGTTGACTGGAGAGGGAATTTGGAGATAGAACTGACCCAGGTGAGGAACTAAATGCAAAGGGGAGAGGAAGGCAGGAGTCGGCGGTGATGTCTCGTTTCTGACTTGAGCAACGAGGTGGGTGGAGGGGCCACTCCCTGAGTTGGGGAAAAGAGGAGAATGTAAATGGAACATGAGAGCTCACCTCTGAGTGTCTGATACGCGCTCGATGTCTGTGAGATGTCCACAGTGAGGAGTGTTGCTCCATGAGTCTGGAGTCAGGAAGACAGGCCCCGTTCGGAGTGGTGACCATGGAGATGGGCATTGACGTGGATGAGGAGGAGGGAGAGGCCCAGACCCGAGTTCTGATGAACTGTGCTATTCAGAGGCAGGGATGGGAGGAGGACCCAGCAGAGACTGGGAAGGGACAGCCAGAGGGGGGAGAGCGCGGAAGGGGATGCTTCCAGAGCAGACGGTCATCTCTGTGAAAGGCTTCACAGAGCGGCCTCACACAGCAGGACCGAGAGATGCTGGGGCAGGGGACAGGGGAAGCCCAAAGCTTCGCGTCAGCAAAGAGAAGGAAGCCCAAGCCGCCGTCACCGGCAGTTCAAGTGTGTGCCCTTGGCTGAGCCCAAAGCCCTGCCTGTTTGGTGTCCCCAGGCACCTGTTGGCAGAACCATTCAGCTGCCCCACGAGACCACCCACTGGGACCAGGACTCTCCCCTCCTGCCACAGCCCTGCCGGCACAGAGAGGGGTGCTCACCGCCCCGAGATGCCCACCCTCTTCCTGGGGAAGCTGATGGCTACTTGACAGCCACGGGCAGACGGACAGCTTGAGTCGGGAAATGAAGTCAGATTCTCATTGCCAACTTTGCTAATGTGTCTCTTGCTACTCCGTCATTAATGAAGATGCCAGTGGGTGGACCAGGGTGGAGGGGAGGTCCTGGGCTCTGGCCTCGCGTGGCCAAGAGCCCGGGGTGCAGACTCCCCAGCTTGCCCAGGCACTGCCTCCATCTCTTCTGGAACTTTCCTAACTCCGCTCCCCTCTGGCTCCTTCCACCCCCGCACAGCCCCTCCCTCTGCGCCCACCTTTCCAAATGTCCTTAGGAAGAGAGCTGCACCTCCCCGTGCGATTCTGAGTCACGGATATCTTTCCAAAAGTAATGGTGCGTGTGAAACACTGAACCTCTTTTCAAGGGCAACTTCACGAATGGGAGAAAAAGTTTCCTAAACCAAACCGTCTGTTTCCCTGAAGATGCTCAGATACAGTAACATTGGCCTCCTGCTGTGCTGTAGCCTCTCCGGATCCCTGGGGACCAAACCCAGCCTCCAGGATCTCCCCCACTTCTTCCCGCACCCCTGGGCTCCACGTGAGCTGGAGGGTCCCCTCTTCTCCCAGTGTCCACACCACAGGCTGCAGCTGGAGTATATGGAGCTCGTTTGAGGCGCCTCAATTCTGCGCCATTATTTATTCATAATGCTGCAAAGCCCTTGGGGCGGAAAGCACTTGAGAGAGAAAGCAGGCGTGGAACTCAGAACAAACAGAACCCAGCAGGGAGCCCGAGCATCTCGGCACACTTCCCGCCCTTCCAGCCACCCATCCAGGGAGGAACCCACCCATCCAGGGAGGAACCCACCCATCCAGAGAGGAACCCACCCATCCAGAGAGGAACCCACCCATCCAGGGAGGAACCCACCCATCCAGGGAGGAAGAGGCCCTCTCAGCACTGGAAGGAACGCCCACCCCGGGCCCCCTCCCAGCAGAGCCCTGAACCAGCTTGGGGGCTGGGGCGGGTGGAGTGAGTCTCTCTCTCCTCCACTGCAGCCCCCTCATCAGTGGGTCTCCCCATCCTACAGATGTGGTCCCCGATGGGCCTTGGCCTTGCTCCAGGGCACTTGTAACATCTGTCCCTAGGCCTTTGGACCCAGGGACCATGGGCACACACCCCAAGTCAGACCAGGGGAGTGAGGGGGGGTGACCCAGGAGGAGGGGACAGGACAGCTGGCCTGGAGAGGCAAGTGTTGACCAGGACAGGGAGAGGCAGAGAGAGGCTATTTCAGGGTGGAGAGAACAGGGTGGAGGCGTGGCCGTGCAAAGTAACCTGGAGGGTTGGGGGGCAGAGCCTCAGAGAGGCAGGAGGGTGTGGCCCAAACTGTGGGCTCTCCGGCCACGCCTCTGGTTGCAGGTCCTCACATCCCAGCTCTGCCACGTTGCAGCTGTGTGTTCTTGGGCCAGTTGCCTAACCTCTCTGTACTTCAGTGTCCCCATGTGGAAAATGGGGGGTAATGATAGTACCCATCTCATTAGGCTCCGGTGAAGATTGTGTGGCTTCATATGTATAAGCACTTAGGACTGAATGGCACATAGTAAACACTCAATAAATGTTAGTGGGTATCACAGCTGGTGTGTAGGGCACCTGAAACAGAAGGGCCAGCAGCAAAGGCAAGGGCTAAATCCCAAAGAAACCGGCACGCCTCTCTATTCTGTTAAATACGTCGTACTACTCATCAATGTCAGAGGTGGAGCTTGCCCCAGAGCCGCCTGACCCCCACCCCTATTCACAACCACTCCTTCGTCACCAGTGTTTACTGAGCACTTACTACGCAGCAGGCAGCTAGACATGAACGCTATAAAGATGGGTCCACCCAGCCCCCATCCCTGTGCTAAGAGCCCACTATCTAGTGAGAACACAGTGTTCACATGTAATCCCCACAATCAACTGAGAAGTTGTGGTCGTGGCTCAGGCTATGAAGGGGGGGTCACGGTGCTGTGCGGCAGATACCAGGGCAGGGCGGTCCCGCCCGTGTCCCGCCTCCACATCTGACCCATCTCAGCCTCCAACTCCAAGCCCCAGGCCAACACGGAGCGTTGCCGTGGAGGTTGCTTTGCCCAATGGAGCCAAATTGGCTTCCACCCGTCTCTCTTCCAGGCCCTGCCCCGGGGTGACTTGGCACGCCCTGCCCAGGGCCGCAGAGCTCCCGTCTCCTGTGGCTTTCCTGAAAGTGCAGCGGATGCTTCTCGCTGATGATGAGAGGTTCAGACAAGCCACTGAATGATTAAGAGACTGGAAGTGTTCTCTGAGATGGGGAAGCATCGTGCTGGCTCCGCTCAGCCTTGATTCCCAAGACAGATCGGGAGGCACCGCAGCCACTCACTGCCTATTTAGGAGAGAGAAAGCGGGTCCTGGGGAGGATCAAACTCGTGGAGGCGGTGGGGACCGGAGGAAGGAGAGCCTCTGGATTTCAAAACCAAGTTGCTTGATTCTTTGAGGTGGGCCACAGGCACCAGCCAGGCGTCCTTGGCCATCAATGGTGATAGGCTTTCCACTTTGATTCTTTGGTTTAATGACGTCGCAGGGACCTTAAGGATAGAACATCGAGTACAAGTCCCTCATATCACAGACGGGAGCCCGGAGCTGTGAGATGATGTGCCCGGGTCTCGAAGCTCGCTAGCGGCCGAGGGACGAAAGCCCCTGTGGGTCACGGCTCTTTCCCGGCATCGCAGGGATTTGTTCTCTGTGCCTGGGGCCATGTGAGCGCATCAAGAGAGAGAAGCACTTTTGTGAGCGCTTGCAGACGGGCTGCTGGGGAGCCCGCGGGAGCAATGCTGTGCCTTTAAGAATCGGACTGCCCAGATGCCTGGGCACTGCAGCCAGGGAAAGCGCTGCGACTGTGGGCAGCGACGTCAGACGGACAGGCTGCACTTTAAGCACGGACTCTCTAGAAGCCAACATCCCGGCTCTTCCTCCCTGGCAGCAGGCCCGCCCCCTCCAAGCCCTAGCCAAGACGTTTAGCCAGCCGCTGCTGGGCTCACATCTACCCTGTCACCCCTAGATTAGGAGTCGGGAGGGCCAGTGAGTTCCTGGACAGCAGTGACCTCTCCGGCAGCCGGGAGCTCATTACCAGGCAGGGGCCCTAAGGCAGCTCCCCTGACAGTGGGTAGAGATGAAAGCAATAACTTGCTGGCTGTTCTGCAGCCCCTGGTCCCTCCTGGTTTTATTAAAGCCAAAGTGGCAAGCATCCCTAATGAGGATCAAGGCTAGGAAGGCACACAGATCTGGGGCTGGAACCTCCTGGGAAAGAGCACAGGGCGGGGAGAGGTTCCTGGCAAGGCCACCTGTGGCACCGGGCTTTCCAGAGAGGGATGTGGCTACCCGAGATGCCGACTCTGTTTCCTTATTCCCCATATCTCTATTCACTCAACATCTACCTGTTATTTTCCTTATCGAATAACCCAGTCCTCTGTCTCCTGCGTGTGCAGGGGGCCACATCCCCTGATCCACCGAGCCAAGAGCAGCCAACTCCCCACCAGGCCGGGTGAGGCCGTGACAAAAACCCCCCGTCTAACCTCTCCTCTGCTTCTTTGCAGGAAAGCGTGGATTTGGGGGAGATCATGTTCTCCCTCTGCTACCTGCCCACAGCAGGCAGGCTCACCCTCACAGTGATCAAGTGTCGGAACCTCAAGGCCATGGACATCACCGGCTACTCAGGTACCTCTCCCGCCCAAGGGGCCTGCCCTCGGCCACCCGGCAGCCCGAGCGTTAGGATTTGGAGAGAGAAGGAGGAGAACTGTCAGTTTTCACAGAAAAGCAGCTGCTCTGGAGGGACACGCCGTGGGTTCGCATCCCCGTTCTGCCACTTCCTTGCACTGCCATGTTTTGGTTTCCTAATCTGAAAAAATAACTTCCCAGGTTGCTTTTAGGATAAATGAGTTAATTCACATAAATGCTTAGAACTGTGCCAGGCACATAATGAGCACTCAGCAGATACTAGCTATTACCACCGTTCTTTCTCCAGAGGAGGGCGAGAATAGGAAGCGAACACATAGGAGTGGGTACATGTTTGAGGTCCACGCCGCCTGCAGCCGCTCTGCAGTCCCAGTCAAAGGAGCAATGCCACCGAAAAGCCGAGTGCATTTGTGTTTGAGTTTTCCCTGCAGGGCTCCGGGCCTCAGCCTCAGCAGCGGGGAAGCTGCTGGGAACCACAGGAAAAAATTAGTCCTCGTCTAGCCACCGAGGAAATGCCTGCTTGGGGGCAGCTGTAGCAATGCAGCTGGACGTGGGGTCGGAGGTTTGCCCCTTCGCCACGATTCTGCAAGGCTGTCAGAGGAGAAGGTGTTAGAGTTTTGATATCCCCGAGGAGTAGCTTGGGTCCCAGGAGCCTCCATCCACCCATCCACTAGGCACAAGTTAGCCCTAGGAGTGAAATGGGGCGAAGCATCCCTAAGAGCAGGCGCACGGAGCAGGCTGGGCCGCACACGGAGGGCACGTGCAGGAAGAGGCCCGGCTGGCTTCCGGGGCGCCCACCTCAGAGGCTCTGATGACTCGGATCACAGCGTCAAGCCTCTCCCACGGTGCCTCCGAATGTGGATGGGAGTGTAGGGAAGGTTTTCCCTTTTATCCCTTAGTCTAATCTCCTTCGTCTAATCACAGTTGCCATAAAGAGGGGCCGGTCCAGCTGAAAACATCTGGCCCAGGTGCCACCTGGTGGTGCCCTTTGAAGAAGAGGCGGTAGAGGTCTTGAAAAATGAGGTTTCAGGGAAACACCCACACACTTACTGTGTCTTGGTTGCAGCTTTGAATCGCTAGGAGCTTCTGCTTCTAGCCGCCCCCACCCCGCTCCCTGCAGTGCTCTGGCCTCCAGGCCAAAGACTCCCCCAGTTAGCGCCCCCCCAATGCCTCTCCTTCCACCGAAGCTACCGCCACTTATCAGGAGGTGGGCAAGAGCTTAAAGAACCTTTTCAGACATAGTCAGCTTTCTCCAAAAATACAGCCACCGTAGATTTCATTTTAATATCAAAATAAGTGCATGCCAGGGACAGAAATTCACAGAGGACTCTCAAGGCTGCTGAGGCAAATGGGATTTTGCTTCCCAAGTCCCCACACTATCTTCTCGGGTGTAATTAAATTGATGTGCTAGGGAGAGAGCTGGTGGCGGAGCCACTGAGGTCACTGCCGAGGCTGCTCCCATCAGAGGGTTGGGGGCAGAGGCCACGGGCTGAGTCTAACCTCCCTCTCACAGTTGCCCCTCTTTCCCACCTGGGCTTAGAATCTGCTGTTGTCTCAGTTTGATTCTGAAAACGCAGGGGCCATCTTCTTGTCAGGGATTTCTGCCTGTTTTGTTCACTGATAGAATCAAGTGTCTGGAACAGTGCAGAGAACACAGTAAGCATTGGATAAATATGTATTGAATGAGTGAATGAATGAATGAATGAGTGAATGGATTTATAGCTTGCAGAGCCTTATCCGGGTGATGCAGCGGGGGCATACATGCCAAGGGCCTCTCAAACTAGACCCCGTTTTTGAGGATGACTTTGAGGTTACCTTCAGCCCAGACTGCTTTGATGTTGGACTAAACGAGGGAGGGAATGGAGCTTATTTGTGGTCTGTTCTTGATTTATATGGCGTTGACATCTAAAACCAAGGATCTTCCTATTTTCCTTGATCTAAACTGGTCGTGAATCAATCCTCTAAGCCTATCTACTGGAACCATGATAGTGAACATAATTCAAAATAGTAAGGATGGTTTGCCAGGAAGGGGTGGTGAGTCAGTGACTCCCCCATCTCTGCCACATCTGGTCTGTACTACTTTGGATCCAACGGTTAAAAAGTGAGCTTTGGAGTCAGACAAGCTAGGGTGCAAATCTTAGGCAAGTTTCTTCATCTCTTTAAACCCCAATTTCCCTACCTGTAAAATGATGACGAATATTTTATAAGGTTGAGGTGACGTGTAAATGACATGATGCATATAAATCTCTTAGCTCAGTGCCTGGCACATATTAAATGCTGAGTCATGATGGCTCTCGTGACAATGAGGCTGAATACCCTGCTGGCCTTTGTGCCCCACCCTCGGCTGCTTCAACAGCACAGGCTGTTGGAGAGGAGAGGACCTCAGAGGTCGTGTGGAGCCAGCGTCCCACCAGAAGCCGTAAAGTTTGGCCTCAGCACCCTGGGGAACAGTCACCTCTCTGCTCAGTGTCTCGGGTGCTGGTGAGATGGTTGGTTCCTGCAAGGGACGTGCACCACTGGGTTTTTGGATTTGCCTCGTAGGGGTGGACAGAGGGAGGCAGAAGCTGAGGGTCAGGCATAAGGCATTTGCTCCGTGCACAGCCCACGGACAGGTGGCTCCTTCCCAGCCTGGAGACATGGACGTGTGGCCTGCCATGGGAAGGTATGGACACAGGCATGGCAGGTGGTGTGCAGCCTCCGCCTGAAGACACTTTCCAAAGCAGTGTGCACCCTTCAGGAGTTTCGGAGTTGCTATGGTAATGACAGGTCTGGGCGCTGGCTTTCCCTCTTCTCTGCTTGGACCTGAACTCTGTCCCGGGCATATCCACAGGGAGGGAGCCGGCAAAACCAAAAACTCCTGCAGCGGTGCTCAGGCCGCCTCTTTCTTTTTTGCTGAAAATCCTCCTGAGAGGGGGCCCTTTCAAATGGGCCACGGGGGACACAGGTTGATTAAAGTCCCGGGCATATCCACAGGGAGGGAGCGGGCAAAACCAAAAACTGTCCTGCAGCGGTGCTCAGGCCGCCTCTTGCTTTTTTGCTGAAAATCCTCCTGAGAGGGGGCCTTTCAAATGGGCCACGGGGGACACAGGTTGATTAAACACCTCATAGTCTCCCAGTTCCTCCGTAAACCCAGGTCTCCATGTCCCTGTGGTTAAGGCACAGCTGCCACTGCACACTGGCTAGTCAGTGGCTCATCTGTCTACAGAAATGCCTTCAAGGCTTGGGGTTTCTGATCAGGGTCACAGCTCCCTCTAGCTCCCCTGTAGCTGTGTGCCTCAACTGCCACCGGGCAATGCCCAGGAAGCGCGAGGCCTGCTGGGCGCCTGGGTGCCTGGGAGATGAAATACCTGTGAATCCAGGAGCCGGGGGGCGGCTGCTCGGCACCCCACCCCCTGACAGATTCGCATGAGCCCTGGCATCTGGGCAGGAGGGTGTCTCCGCACATCAGTGTCTCCCAAGCTGCTATTACCCGCGAGCCGCCCTCCCGCTTCTCGAGCTGTGCCGCATAAATCACAGTTATGATGCTGCCGGGGACACCTGTGCTACGGGATACAATAGGCGTCACTTCACTGGGATGAGTAGAAAATTCCAGGGTAGAAAGATGACCATGAAACACCCATTCAGAAAACTAAAGAGACAAAGATGGGAGGCCCGTGGATGTCCAGTAAAAGGACGTCTTCTCGCGGGATGGCGAGAATCCAAGATCCCACTGAGAAATGAAACGCCAGCCGGCTGCCCTCACTGCCCCGGCCACAGCTCCCTCCTCCGCCACTGCCCAGAAGTGGGCAGGAACCGGCCTCAGAGGAAGCAGCGAGGGGCTTCCACTTCCCTTCTGGATGCTGGAAATGAGCTTCTCGAGACAATGGGAGCCCTAATCCTCTGCCAGGTGTGGGGCACACGGACAGCACTGTGACTGTCACTGTTCATTGACTCGGACAGCGTTGCTTCTCTTTGGGTGCCATCGGGTTCTATTTTTACCCCCTTCCTCTTTGGTTAATAATGCTGACAAGCCCCCCAGAGAAAAGGACTCCAACGAGGTGAAAGGAATTGAGTGCCTTTGTTCAGCTTCACCACCCTTGGGAGCCAGCCGGCCAGCACGGAGCTGAGATTTAGGGCATTGATTGCATACCCACGGGCAGGGGTCCTATCTGATTTGGGGCCAGCCTTCCCATTAGTGCAGGTCTGTTAAGCGCTCTCCCCAGAATCCTGAGGTCTCTGAAGCATGGCCTGTCCCCAGAGACAGGTGTGCTCCATAGATTACTGGTGCTTTAACTGTTTTAACAACCCACTGGGGGCATCTGCTGACCAACAGTAGACGTAATAGGGCTGCTGTCCCTCTGGTGCAAATGGTGTTAGAGGACATCTGTTTAACACGCTGCCTTCCCTTCCTTCCCGCCGCCCCCGTCGGCACAGATCCTTACGTCAAAGTGTCCCTGCTTTGTGACGGGCGGAGGCTGAAGAAGAAGAAAACCACCATAAAGAAGAACACGCTCAATCCTGTCTACAACGAGGCCATCATCTTTGACATCCCGCCAGAGAACATGGACCAAGTCAGCCTGCTCATCTCGGTTATGGACTATGACCGGTAGGTACGGGCCCCAGGGGGACACGACTCCCTCCGTCTCCTGGCAGCGCAGGGCTTCTTGACCTTGGACCTTGTGGTTCACAGCCCGGTGTCCACCGGCCTCAGGCCTGGCTACAGCCACGGAGAGTACAGGAGCTGGAGGAAGAGCCTGGGCTCCCCTAGGCAGAAGCTCAAGCTTCACTTCCCAGCTGCCCCATTTCCATCGGGGCAGCTCCCCCACCAGTCCCCCTGCATTCAGTCCTGACCATTCCCGTTCCTCCCTCCGGCACCAAGTCCTGTCACCTGTCCTTGAAAAGGCCTCTCTCTCCTCTCCATTTCCGCTGCCGCTACCACTCCCACTTGGGGTGGCTGTGCAGCCTCCATCACTCCCTGCCTCCGCCCAGCAACATACGAAAGGCACGCCTTCTTCATAAGAGACCGCTTTCTTTCCGGCCCGCCCTTCTCAAGAACCACCCACGGCTCCTGGTGCCCAGGCTCTTCCCCTGGACTCTCAAGGATTTCCATAATCTGGACCCAGCACGTCCATCCTTGATTTCTCCTTTATTGGAGATATTTCTTCTCTTCCACTTATCCAAATCCCACTCCTCCATCCAGACTGGCTCAAGGTATTTTCCGACGACTCTAGCTACCAGCACTCCTCTCTCCACTTGTCACTTCTGCCGAGGGAGAAGGAAACGGCGCGGCAAAGCCTCACTCTAGGATTTCTAGCACAAGACCTCGGGCTTAGTAGGTGCTCGGTGAGCGCAGTTGAGCGATGATTGATGTTCTTGCTGAGTGAGTAACTCACCTCCCAGCTGCTGGGGGTATGGAGCAATGGTGCTCAGAGCAGATTGATTTATTTCCACATGCTGATAGCATTTCAAGTGTGGGTGTGATGTGCAAGCCGAGTCCAGTAAGGGAAGAGACCTGGACCCTCCAACTCCCCAAAGTCAGGCCATCTGCCCGTCCTTTCCTGAGACTCCAAACGAGTGTATCACCTTTTGCTCGTCTGTCTGTGTCCAGTGTCCACCCAGGGAGGCGGGCAAAGCATCGCTGTTGCTGGCACCCTGCGGCCCTGCCGAGCACCTGTTTTCAGAGCTCAGTGCCCTGAGTTAGACCTGCCAACAGAGTCCCAGCCCCAGCCCACCCTGAGTGCGCGCCTGGCCCCCCATGGTGGGTCTTTTGTCTCTCACGCAGAGTGGGCCACAATGAGATCATCGGAGTCTGCCGCGTGGGGATCAACGCGGAAGGCCTGGGCAGGGACCACTGGAACGAGATGCTGGCGTACCCGCGGAAGCCCATCGCGCACTGGCACTCCTTGGTGGAGGTAAAGAAATCCTTCAAAGAGGTGGGTGAGGTCGCCCTCGGCCCTTGGCATGCTTGCTGCATGGCAGCGCGCGCTGGAGAATGGCCGTGGGCTGCTGCGAGGCCTCGCCTTTTTGGTTCCTGGGGGGAGGGGGTGTGGGGCCATGCGCTTCTCCCACAGTGTGACGGGCAGGGAGGAAGACCGTGGGCAGCTGCCTGGCAAAGAGCCTCTGATGTGGGGCAGACAGAAAGCAACACTGAGTTTTAGTTGGAAAATAAAAACTCAGAGGGAGCCTTCCCAGAAGCCCCGAATGCTTTCACCAAGGCCCTGGGCCAAGACAGCCCTTGAGGAGCGAACCCCACGGGGGTGAGATCAGAACTTGGCAAGAAATTCGACCTCTGTTGGGAGCAGCAAGTTCCCGAGGCTGCAGCCTGGCAGTCACTGCAGCCTGGCAGTCAGGGGAGACGCCAGAGATCAGCGCTGCTCTAATCTACGTTGGTGCTCGCGAGCGCGGCTGTAGGGCCTCACTTTCTGGCGGGTCTAACAGAGACGCAGTGGACCGGGCACTGCCTGGGGCTCCCAGGATTCGGGCTTTGAACTTGGCCCCTCCTGCCTTGCTGTGTAACCTTGAGCCAGTCCTTTCTCTCTCAACTGCAGGGAAAGCGTCCCCTCTAGTGACCGTTCCTCCGCCCACCTCCACGGGCCTCCACCAGAGTAAGGCCCTGTGATGTATCACCTTGGTGGCCCCAGCCTGCTTTTCTCACGTGGGGGTGGCCAGGCAGGCTTTGCGTCTCATTACGAACGACACCCCCTTCCATATCCTGGAAAGCCTGGTGATCATTCACTCGTCTTAACGGACTCCATGCCTTACAAGTCTAGGGAGCTGCGTAAAATTGGAAAATCCGCTAACAAAAAAATAAAGCATCATCCCTCTTACCACATGGGCCCTCACTTAAAAGCAGAGTCACCTAAAAACAGAGGAATCCCGTCCCCACACTCTGGGACAAAGAGAAGGTGTGGCAGCCGAGCCAGAGGACCTGCCTGCCCCGCTCCTTCTCAGTGGACATGCCCCTTCCAGCTGCTTCCAGCAGTGAGGTGTCTCCAGAGAGACAGGGAGCTGAGGGTTGGAGGAGTGGAATCAGTCCTGGGGGAGCGAGGCCTCGGGGAGCCAGGCTATTGATCTACCTCCCAGGTAGGTGAGGGCCTTTGAAGCTCCCGCCCTGCAGCCTCTGGGGCCCCCAAGAGGGTAAGACATGGACGCAAAGTTCCTGTCCACCCACGGCCTCGCCTCTCCGTCTTGTGGTGGCCTTGCTTTGACCACAGCTGTGGAGCTTGAGTGAGTGAGGCTGGTTCCCCAGCTATGCGGCTCCCAGCCCTCAGGGAAGCCTCTGCCCCCTCTTTTCCAGAAGGTTCTCTCTGGAGAGGGGAGGTGAGGTTCCACAACCAGCCTCCACCTACACAGAAGGCAGCTACTGACTCCAGGCGACTCAGGGACAGCACGTGGGCCCTCACTGAGGTCTCCTCACTGGTGCCGAGCCCCTCCCCTTTAAAAACCCTTTGGTGATATTTAAGAATGTAGCAAACCGGTCAGCATGGTTGGGACGGGGCATAGGATAGGAGCTAAGAGGCCCTGATGGGCTCAGGCAGCTCAGGGTCCCCACCAGGTCTTCAGTTTCCTGGTTGATGAATGAGGGCTAGGCTCCTCCCAGGCAACTCTGACCCTCCATGATGACTGGGCAGGGGAGCCAGAATCTTGCACCCCCTTTCTAACCTGCAATCTGCAATAACCCATCACTGTTACCCAACTGGGCTGCCCACATAAACTGGATGTAACCAGCCAGGCGGGGGTTCGGGTGGAGGCAGGGCAGCACAGAGGTGGTACGACCCAGAATCACTCTTCTTTGAGATGAATGCAACCTAATTAAGCCAAATAATTGATTCCAAATCCTGTCTTTTGTGAGTCCAACTCACTCGTTCAGACTACAAAAGAAAGAAAGATAAAGTAGAATCAAGCCCTTGAAAATGAATATTTGATGAGACAGTAAAGGGAAAGTAACAGTATATGGGAAACGAAAAGAGAATAAATTGATTTATATCCTCTGGGTTCTACTTTTTTCTTGACCTCGCCAACGGAGCTCCCCAAACCGCCCCTCCCCACTCGCTGTCCTGCCTTCTTCTGCTCAGCTGATGGGTTCTCTGAACGAAGGAGCTGACAATGACATTTGGCTTGGCAACCTAGGATTCCATCGGTACAAACGTGTATAAGATTTCTATCTACACCTTGAGCACCCACAGCTTAAGGATCTTTATAAACATGCACCCAAAGCCCACCGGGCTAATATGAAGTCCGTGTTCTTGGGTTCATGTGACGCGTTGCACTTGAACGCTTATCTCAGTCGTCCTTGGAGCTCTTATCCCGCCTTCTCTTCCGTCCTGTTCTGGACGCTGAGGGAGAGTCTTGCTCCGGGACCGCTCTCTCCCGTTTGTATAATCCGTGAAGAAAGCTCGCTCTCCAGCTCCCGGGAGGATAGATGGCATCGCACCTGGGAAGCATCTGTATTTATATTGCACTTTTCTCAGAGGAGTTTCGAGGGCTGTGATCATTTCTCTTTTTATTAACGAGAACAGAGGGCTCCGTACTTGCTCGCTTGTTTGGCGTTTTCACATAAGGTCGAGGGGAGCAAATGAACTGAAAGGTATTTTTTCCCTGCTGGGATTTTTCCCCCCATGAGTGCTAAGTGATTAAGCCACAGCCAGCATCCTTCCCTCTCTGCCTGTCATCGCTGTCACCACCTACCGCACCCCGGATGGCCAGCAACCTTCTCCAAGGCGTTCTATTTTGAAGGGCCAAGTTCAGACCACCTGCCAGAGAGTTGAGGTCTCTGTTGGAATGTGATCCCTTTCAGGACAGTACAAGGTCTTCCTGGAGTGCAGCCCCCCGTCCCCAGGAACGACCATCTTCCCGCCTGTGGGGACCAGGTCTCCGCTAGTTCACAACCCCCGGACAAGCCTCCTGGGTCATCCACTGTCCATGAACCCGTCTCCTCTGTGTTTATCGTCATGGGAAAATGAGGGGTTGGTGGGGAGCCCGTGTGCCTGCTTCCTTTGCCCTGGATAAATGAAGTGTGCTCCCTGTGCCTTCTCTTTGGGCTGTTACAGAAGGAAAAACGGGCGCTCTGTGTAGAGATTTCATTGTTTCCTCTGATCTGGCCCATCAGTCAGGTGGTTTAGGTGGCTTGGGAACCCAGAGGAGAAGCCAATAATTACAAGGGACCTTGTACCAACATTAACGGTCATCGCAGATAAAGGAGAACTTCTAATAAAATGAAGGTCTGTTCAATGAAAGCCTTAGTCACCGCCTCATGTCATGTCCCCTTTTGGTTAAGAAACACTTACTTGAGTCAGAAGTCACGGTGGGCTCGACAAGCAGGCATTTATTGATCTAAAATATTTCACCAGGGAAGCCCTCGGTTGTGAGTGCATTCACGTGGATGCTGCGAGCAGAGACTGCCGCCCGGAGTTAGGAGTAAGTACCAAAGAGGTTAGGCGTCTCACTGCATTCCCTGTCTCCTTCCCCTGGCGCAGCCAGGTGCCAGGATGGCAGCTGGGTGGCGTGGAAGGAGCGCCGAGTTGGGAGTTAGGAGACCTGGTTTCGGATCCTGGCTCTGCCCCGAGCTACCTGTGTCTTCATGTCTCTGTGTCTCTGTTTTCTTATCTTCAAGAGGAGAGAGTTAGATGGGACGATCTCCCAGCCTGCCTCGGGTCTGGCGTGCTGGGTCACGCAGTGGTGGTCAGTACTGCTTGTCCAGCTGTGGTTGGCTGTAACGCTGCCGCTCGGCCTAGATGGGAAGCTCGAAGGGGCCTTGAGGCGCTGAGCTGGGGGAGGACGGCAGAGCTGGCTTTCCTGGGAACGGGGAGCATGAAGGCGGTCGGTAGGCTTGGGTCTCTCCTCAGCACTGGGGCCTCCGCCTTTCTCCAGAGGAGATGCTGATGGCAAATGGCCTATTCCTTAGGGGGCTCGGCTTTGTCTGGAAATGGCCGTGTTGAGGGGGGAACAGTGTCCTCCCCCTCCAACACACACACATGCACAAACGCATATCCAGCCCCCACTCAGCCCCATCACTCCATGGGGAGACCCTGAGGCTCACAGCAGCACAGGCTGCACTCCCGATTCGGAAAGGCCATCCTGCCGTCCCCGACTCTCCCTGACCTTGTCCTGCGGCACCTAGGAGAGTGTTGGGTCTCCTCAGCTCACAGAAAAGCTGGACTGTCTCCCTCTGAAGCGCACAGCCCCCAGGCAGGCTGGGAACATCCATCCGCAGGATCAGCTTCTGGCCCAGCAAACACTGCTGTAGCTGTGACTGGCTGGCCTTTCCATGTAAGCAAGGGCTAGATCAGTGATGGCGAACCTTTTGAGCTTGGCGTGTCAGCATTTTGAAAAACCCTAACTTAACTCTGGTGCCATGTCACATATAGAAATTTTTTTATCTTTGCAACCATAGTAAAACAAAGACTTATATTTTTGATATTTATTTTATATATTTAAATGCCATTTAACAAAGAAAAATCAACCAAAAAATGAGTTCGCGTGTCACCTCTGACACGCGTGTCATAGGTTCGCCATCACTGGGCTAGATGCTCAAGTGCGGGTCCATCAGCCTCACCCTCTCCTTCACCCCATCATGCCTCATGACATCACCCACTTTCACAGAGGGGCTAGGGCTGGGCTGAGAGGAGGCAACCCCGAGAAGAGAGAGCCAAGGGGAGCAAAGGCGGGCACCCGGGAGGGGAAGGGGCTGCCGGCCCTCCACCTCCTACCTCTTCACCAGTCAGCGTGGATGCCCCGAGGAAGCATTAAGACTGAAGAACGCCCAGAGCTAGAGCAACATCGGGCTTTTAACTGTCCTAACAGCTCGCAGACAAATCGCTAATAATTCATGATCGGGCTCTTGACAGGGAGGGCATACTCTGCAGCCTGCCTCTCTCGCTAACATAATCCGATTTTCCGTGTGAGAAATGGCAGAAGCTCAGAAACGGCCCAGTCACTGCACCTCCTCAACACACACACACACACACACACACACACACACACACACACACACACACACGGAAGCACGCCTTCAGGATCTCTGCAGTAGGTCTATTTCTAAAATCAGGTATTCCCAGCCAGTAGCCCTAGAGCTGTTCCCTTACGTTTTGTGCATGGCTGACAGCAACACTCAAGAAAGCTTCCAAGAGTGAATTCAGTGCATGAGCCAGACCAGTTCTAGAGGCTGAGCTGTCAGTTTCCTCCACAATCAATAACCGGCTTCTCTCCTCCCAGCAGTGGCAGGGCCGCGCCGCCAGCTTCGACAGCGAGAGCTCGTGCCCCTCTCCGAAGCCACCTCCGACCCCATGAGCCGCACGGCCGAGCCACACCAACGGGACCCAGCACCGTTCTTTCTGCACCTGTTCAACCGTCTAAACACAGTGCCGTGCCGTCGGCGCACCAGGGGCAGCGCGGCGCGCGGGGTCCTACCTGCTCCTGTGTAGGTCAAGGCCGAGACACTTGTTCTGCGCTCAGATCTGTCTTAGTCTTTTCTGTCTCCCAAGGTGATGTTTCTTTGTGTGCGTGTGGTTTTCACTTTTTCTGGATCGGCTGTCAAGAAAGGAAGAAAAAAGAAAGTGGGCAAAAACAGAGTGGAGAGCCCGGAAGTCGGTTCAGTAAAAGACAGTGTAAAATAGTCGTCTTCGGGGGAAAGGTGATGTGAATTTCTGCGATGTGTGTCTCCATCAAGTGCCACTCCCCTGGAGAAGGAGGACGTGGGGTGGGGCTGTGGCCTCTTTCTGGTGGCCTGCAGGTGTCAATCCATGCAAGAGCCTTTAGGAGACTCTTTGAAGCTCTTCGCTCTGTGACACAAGCCGAGATGCGGACTCCCGGTCCCCTGTGGAAATCACAAGCGCCCTGCGGTGTCTGGGAACCTTCAAGGGGTTGGACAGGGCTCCTCGCCCCCTTCCCCATGGACTTCATTCATGATTTGAAAAGGTCTTGACCCCTCCTGGGAACTTAGTCACTTTCTTGAGGAATGATTCTGCGCCCCACGTTAATAACCATATATGTTCGGAAACGGGATCTTTGGTCTCGAAAATTACCTGCCTTGTCAAGGAGGTACGTGTGTCCTGGAATGATTTCTGTATTATACGTGGCTTTCTAATTCCACGAGGCACCAAGCGGCTGTTTCAAATGCCTACACAGGCCAGAGAAAACCCTAGGTAAAATGCCTTTTCCGAATGGGGAGGCGTGAAATCCAAGGAATAGTGGGAGCCCATCTTTCTAGGAAGAGTGTCTTCTTGATTGAGACCAAGGCAGCTTAGACCTAGTTCAGCCCCTTTGACTCTGGGACAACCTTCATCTCGAACTTTAGTTCTATAAACTACTGAGTACTTCCGTGTTTGTTGTTTGTTTCAGTGGTGATGAAGGGCTTTGTTTTTCTTTCTTTAGATATCTAGCTTAGGCCAAGTTCAGTTTAGGAAAAATATATTTGAACTATTCTGTATTGTCAGAGCTCATTTCTGTTGAGTTGGCCTCCCCACCCACCCCTGTCACTAGGTTGATGTGCTCAGCTCAGTCAATGGTGGAGGGGAGTTCCCCCTTGAACTTGTGCTCAGAGCCGGGTGTGACGTCCCAAAGGCAGGTCTGCTGAAGGACCCCTTCTTTCAACCACGGGAGGTCAAGAACATACAAGCTCCTCACACACCCTGTGTCTTATTCTTTCTAGGTCACGTACTTTAGGAGCTGCAACTCAATAAAGTCACCCTCATTTTAAGCCAAGGTACCAGGTTTCTCTGCTGATACCACCTTTGGGTAGTGTGTTCTAGTCCTAAAAATGACCAGATTGGGCATGAGGTAACAGGATATGGTGGCAGAAGACATTTTAAGCTTAGAAAAGTAACTAGATAAACCCCAACTCCCCATTGTACTGAGCCTTCAACTTAGGGGCAACTGAGTCATTGGTATAAAGATACATTTTCTTCCCAAATGTCTTGTGATGGATAGACAGGCCTTCCTAGGCAGGCAGTCCTGCAGCGGATGTTCTCTGGAGAGCACGAGAAAAAACCCAAGGTCATGGCAAGATTCACGTCCAGCCATAAACTTCATTTTTCTTGACTGACCCCATCAAGAGGGCCATGTCAGTCACTGAGCAGACGCTGTGGGTCCTGCAACCATGAGGGGACACCTGAGTTTCCTGGGCCAGAAGGAGCCCAGAAGTGAGCTTAAGCGCATGCACATCCAGCTGTCATCCACAACCCGTAGGCATGCCTGCTGTGTGGCTCAGTGGTTGACCGTCGACCCAAGAACCAGGAGGTCACGGTTCAATTCCCGGTCAGGGCACAAGCCTGGGTTGTGGGCTCGATCTCCAGTAGGGGGCGTGCAGGAGGCAGCCAATCAATGATTCTCTCATCATTGATGTTTCTCTCTCCCTCTCCCTCTCCCTTACTCTCTGAAATCAATAAAAATGAAAACAATTAAAACCTGTAGGCACTTGCAGATAACCACGCTAACCTTTTGGAGAAGGAAGTGTGATCGGTGTGAAACTTGGACTAATTCCTGCTCTCAGCCATCCCTCTTCTGTCCAAGCAGCTCTCTCACAGGTGGTTTTGGAAAATCCTTTCCTGAGTAGACTATGGTCAGCCCCCACACAGCCTAACCAACTGCAGTCTTGGTGAGTTGGTAGATTTCCCCAGGCTGGGAGGCCCCCTCCTACCCCCCCCCCAGGTCCTCAGGGGAAACTGTTTCTGACCGGAAGCCTGAATGAAACCTGAATGTTTGCCAACTTCATTATCTGGCCCAATATCTCTCCCACAGACGAGAATAAAATGAATTACAAGTTTCTGAATAAAATAAAACACAGGGTTGATTCGTTTGTTAGATTCCTCCGCCACGAGAAACCTCTGGGGCTGCTCTCGTGAGCTTTGCTGACGCTGGGATAATCGCGGCCTCGGCACAAAGATGGTTTCTTTAAAACTGCAGAGCTCCCTGCTCCTTTACGCAGCAGTGTTCCTGGACTGCAACATGCCTCCTCTCACCCCTCCCCCTCATACTCGGGATGTTAATTAATTGCATCGTCATTTAAAAAATTATGTTGTTAATTACTGCCTCGCATCTCCCTACCCCTGTCACAGCCTGGAGTCTTTATTCAATTAAATCTGTCTCTTGCCCATTTCTCTCGTCACTGTGCGTTCCTGGGGTCTGTCAGTCAGCGCGCACACAGGACGCTGAAAAGCTTTTATTTTTCGTCTGCGTTCCACATAGGTGACTACGTCCCTCCAGGGTACAGCAAGAGGGCTGGTGGCTTTGATTCTGCCCAGGGACACCTGCGCAGCCCATACAGCTGGAGCCACCTGTGTTTGCCAGGCTGGGGGCTCTCAGAGCACCTGGGGCACCAGCAGGGCTGTTTCCTCAGCTGTTCGGTGCCATCCGTGGCCCCTCCAGATGCCAACACGTCTCTAGGGAAGTGGGTCACACCCTCAATCTGGAAAACGCGATGCTCCGCCCACCAGGGGAGGGATCCTGCTAATTCTCATAAAACACACCGTAGCTGAGGGATAAGATCCGATGGCAGACTGGAAGATTTAAAAAGAGCATTCTGCCCGGCCGGTGTGGCTCAACGGTTGAGCATCAAGGTTTGAGTCCCAGTTAGGGCACATGCCTGGGTTGCGGGCTCAATCCCCAGTGGGGGATGTGCAGCAGACAGCTGATCGATGATTCTCATCATTGATGTTTCTGTCTCTCTCTCCCTCTCCCTTCCTCTCTCTAAAATCAAAAATATATATTTAAAAAGAGCATTCTAACTTCATAGAATATCATCTCTGCTCACCACAGCTCCTAATTTAGAAGGCAGCCCATAGAGAGGAGAGGGAAGGCTCCACCCATTTGTGCATCTCTGCGTCTAAGTGAGATGCCACCCAGGGAGCTAAGCTGCTGAGAGAAGCACTCTGCTGCTCCCCCGCTTCCGCCTCCTCATCAGGTCACCCACGAGGCAGCACGCTCCCATGCGGTGATGCTAGCGGTATCTAGAGCTGATCCACCCCGGGGTGAATGTGCCCGGCTGGCGGCCTGGGTCATGCAGCAATACCAGCCTTCGGATTTCAGTGGCTGAAAACAACAAATAAAGGCTTATTTATTCATGTCAGGTGTCTATTGAAGGTCAGCAAGGGGTTGGGGGTGGGGGGGAGGACCTGCTCACGGATTTATTCAGAGGGACTCAGAATGGCACAGCAGCCAACATCTCAAACGCTGCTAGTTGCCGCCAGAAAAGAGCTCAGACAGGTCTCATAGTGGCCTCGATGCTCTGGCCCGAAAGGAACACATGTCGCCTTCCTTTGACAGTTTATCGCCCGGAACTACTCATGTGACCTCTCAAAACGTAAGGGGCCCAAGCGCCAGGGGAGAAGAACTGGAACTGTTTGGTTCTGGGCACTGGGAGGACCACAGTGAACTTCGACTCCTGGGAGGGCTGGTTCAGAGAAACCAGTAAAGGGAAACTAGCTTATTTATGGTGATGAGATGAAGGGCTGCCCATTGGGCCACACCACTGTGCCAGCCTCAGGCTTGAATCTTGCCCACAAAAAGCTTTTAGTCTAGTAAGTTGCCAACACAAGTAACGCAGCCCAAGGTAGGAAGTGGTAAGTGCAGGGAGGGCGGTGAAACAAAGGCTCCAGAAGTCCCGGGGAGAACACCCCATGGGCAGGGGAGCGACCGCTTCGAGAGAGAAGGGGCCTCTGATGGAGACCTTGGTGAGGAGGGCGCACCTTCCAGAGGGCCCACCAGGTGCCGGCCCAGAGCTGAGGAATCCCCAGGGCTGCCCAGCACCCTGCACCCGGGGGGACAATGAGCACAACTGCCACCTGGTTGCCCTGCTCAGCCCAGGCAGACGCTGGACCTCTGCCCCAGAGCTGCCCTCTCCCCACCTCACCCCTCCTGCCAGGCCACAGACACGGCCCCTGCCCCGTTCTTGCTGCTGCCTCCACTGGACCTGCTGCCCCTCCCCCTCCCGCGCTGGCTTGGCTTCTGCTCCCAAAGGGCTGAGCGAGGATGGGCAGGGCCCCGGGAAACAAGGGCGCCTGTGCAGGATTACAGGCAGGCGGGCAGCTGAGCAGATCTGGAAGACAGGAGAGGGGAGGGGATGCAAAAGCATTCTATGTTTTTACATCTGAGGCAGGAGAAAAACGATAGTGCCTTCCAGAAACCAGAAACTCAGCAGAACATGGGGTGGGGGGGGCGGGAATGATGAGCCCAGTTTGGGCCAAACTAAGTTTGAGATGCTGGAGGGATGTCCAGCTGACACCTGCAGCTCAAGGTGCAGCTCGGCAGAGGTCAGCGTGAGACGTGAATTCACAGGAAGCCTGCGCACCAAAACGAGGTGTGAAGCCAGGAGGGGCACTCTGCCACGAGGGCACAAGCTGACCAAGAGAGATTCTTTGGGCACCATCAACATTTAGAGGTCAAGGACCTGCAACGACCTCTTTGTGAGCCATCGGTCACGCGTACTAATTCGATCCCCTCTACCAGGTATTCCTCCAGGAACAGCTAGAGAGTGTGGAGTCCGCCCATCACACCAACCCTGGCCAGTCACCCATAAACGTGCTGTATGCTGGAAAATGCACCCTGGCCCGTGTGGCTCAGTGGTTGAGCCAGGAGGTTCCATTCTTGGTCAGGGCACATGCCTGGGTTTCGGGCTCGATCCCCAGTAGGGGTCGTGCAGGAGGCAGCCAATCAATGCTTCTTTCTCCCTCTCTCCCCCTCTCCCTTCCTCTCTGAAATCAATAAAAATATTTTTTTAAAAAGAAAACGCAAGGAAGAGTGAAGGCTGGCTGTAGCTGGAGAGTGGTGCTGAGCTCAGTCGGGACAGGAGGGCTCATTACTCTCCAATGCTCAGCTCCCAACAAAGCCGGTGCCGTTCGACTTGATGAGCAGGGAAGCCCATGGATGAGCTGCCATGGGAGAGGGCAGGCAGAAGACTTCAGTGTCTGCAAACCAGACTCTCACCCAGGCTGGCTCAGCGCTCCTGCCTCCTGGCGTCTCCCCTCCCAAGGAGGTCTCAGCAGGGAGGACTGACTGGCAGGGACTTAGCCTGGGGCTGGAGTGGGCAGCCCTGTGACTCCTTTCCCTGAGGTGATTCTTTTTCCCACACGGATTGGGGGAGTTTGTTGAGACATCAGGGATTATCCAGAGGGACCCGGAGCACCCACGGGGCAGGTGCCTCCGGCTTCCTGAGTCAGGGAGCGTTTCTTGTCTTCTCTGCAGCTTCACCTGCAGCCTGTGCCGGAGCCAGGCCTGCGGGACCCTTCGGGCTGGGCAGTCAGGAATGAACCCCCGTGGCTAGAAATCCCAAGTGTTTGGGGGAATGCGAGTCCCTGAGACGCAGACTAGCTCATCACGGTTGAAAGGGCCGTGGCCCTTTGAACCATGGCCTTTCATCTCCCCGGAGAAATGACTGGCAATGACACCCCGTGGCTTGTGAAATCAAAGAACCAGACGAGCTGCAGACACCGCCTTCCTTAAATGGCCAGCAGCTTTCTTTCAAAAATGGTTCGAACATGCACGACTGCCATGCACGAGTTCTTCCTCTGCCTCCTGGTTCGGAACCTGCAGCTGCCCCATTTTCCTTGCCCCAGCTCACTCTCTCCCTGGCCCTGACGCTGGGGGTTGAACCGCATTCTCCCGTGTTTTAGTCCCAGGGGCCACCTGACAGGGCGCGCTGTTTCATGCCAGGCTGGCCACGAGGATGGAGTCATCGCTTCGACATCAATACACCTGGAAAACTCGAGAGCCTAGAGCAGGGGTCCTCAAACTTTTTAAACAGGGGGCCAGTCACTGTCCCTCAGACCGTTGGAGGGTCGGACTATAGTTTAAAAAAAAAAACTATGAACAAATTCCTATGCACACTGCACATATCTTATTTTGAAGTAAAAAAAAAACAAAACGGGAACAAATACAATATTTGTATTTGCATGTGGCCCGCGGGCCGTAGTTTGAGGACCCCTGGCCTAGAGCCAGAGACCGGGGTTCAGCCCTGGTTCCCCACGTCCCCAGTCTACCCTGGGCAGATCAGATAACCCCTCTGAGGCTCGGCTTCCGATCTGCACCCTGAGAGCATGTCACAGCGTATCTGCCTGCACACGGTCCTCTTCCCTTGCAGGCCCTGTCACCGTGCATAACCGGTAACCGAGAACAAAGGGGATCGGCCACTGTGCTGCTCTTAACCCTGGCGAGGGTGGGAAGGAGCAGGGAGGGGGTGTAGGGAAGAAATCGAGTGGCTGTGTAATTAATTTGGAATAATGTAAGCACTGAGCCGTTGAAGAGAAACAAAAGTGGTGACATTT